AAAACCCGCGGGCCCCCCCCCGCCACTCCTGGCTGGCTCGCCGTCCTCACTGCCGCTCCATGGCTGCAGCAGCGCTGTGCCACTTCTGTGGGCCTGGGGAGGGATGCTGTCTGACAGCCGAGAAGACAGGCGACTCTGTTAGTGGCCTCTCTGCCCTCCACCCTCCTCTGCTTTCTTTTGCGTGCAGAAGATGGGCTTTATTTTTCTTAAATATTTTTTTCAGATGTCAATGATCCTTCCCGTGGACTCTAATATGGCAATGAACAACTGTCTTCTGCAGGTGTTTCTGCATCTCGCTTTCTCTTAAGACTCTCAGCTCCTGGATCTGTTTCTTCCTCCTAGCTGGGTCTTTTCTCAGTTAAGTGGAGACGTGGCTGCCCGTGGCCTCATAAAGAAAATAGCCAGTCAACACTGTCTGTGTCACAGCCAGAATGTATTCAGCCTCCCCATAAAGTGGCTTCAATTTGGGACAAGATACTTCGTTTTTCATATTTATTTATTTATTTATTTATTTATTTATTTATTTATTTTTGAGAGGTTTTTGCCTTTTGAGCTCACCAGAGAGAGATAGAAACAGAAACAGTGAGAGGGAACATGAGAAATCACCCCTCAGAGAGGATGGCCACACCACAATCCCTTCTCTTCCATTTTCCTCTCAGGATTTTGGGCACCCATGCACATGTGCCCAGTGTGATTTTCCCACCGTGACAGGGACTCGAACTGTGGATGACCATGTGGGAGTTGAGCAACATAACTGCTATGCCATCCTGGGACTCAAACTATGGCTGGCCGTGTGGGAGTTCAGAAACGTAACTGCCATGCCATCCCGGGATTCGAACTGTAGTTAGCCATGTGGGAGTTCAGCAATGTAACTGCTGTACCATCCCAGGACTCAAACTGTGGTCGGGTCGGCCATATGGGAGTTCAGCAACATAACCACGATGCCATCCCAGGGACAAAATTTTAAAATGTGTTTCATTGAATTCTTTTGGCATATCCATCCTCCTCCTCCACCGGCACCACCTCTTCTATCTAAAAAAAAAAAAAAAAAACAAACACGAGGCAAACAACT